TCGTCCCGGAGTGCACGGGGGGGCTGGCCACAGGCACCCCCGAATAATACCCCCCCCCCCCCCCAGCATATCCTTTTCCCCTGGCCGGCTCCCTCCCTGCCGGGTTTGGGGGTGGAGAGCCGAGGACAAAGTACAGCTTTGACTAGACCCCGCCAAGCCCACATAGCAGCTTTTCATCGGGGCTTGGCATTAGCAAGACACTAATTAGAGGCCATTCAGCTGGAAGATTTCTGGCGGGAGCTGCTCCACAAAAGAGCCACTGTTTGCCACCAGGGCTCAAGTCATCATTTTGTGCAACCGCTCCTTGGGTTTCGGTCGGCGAGCTCCCGCGGCCCTGCACCTTGCATCCCCATAGAGGCAGCTTTATTCCTTCCTTCCTGCCTTCCCCCTCGCTGCCGCCCGCTGCTGAGGCGGGGAGCACGGCCGGACGGCTGCTGCAGGGCCACACCTAACGAGCACCGGGCTCGTTACGCCCAGCTCCGGGGCTGGCGGGCAGTGGGGTTCAACTCCCTCCACCACGGACACCCGGGAAAGGGACAGTCCTGCCCCATGGGAGTCACACCAGCAGGGACTGACCCCGCTGCCGGGGGGTTCGGGGACGCCCCCCACAGCAGGTGCTTGGGGAGGTGGGCACTTGCTAATAATTTGGCAACGTGGTTTTATGGCACATCACAGGGCAGAAGGTGGGCTCGTTCCTGCACAGCGGGGCGGGCCCCCCAGAGCCCCCCAGGACACGAGGCATCCCTCACCTTCGGTGCACTCGCAGCTGTAGGTGTTGGGGCCGTCCACACACTTGGCGCCGTTCTTGCAAGGGGTGCTGGCGCACTCGTCGATGTCGAACTGGCACAGGTGCCCATTGAAGCCTGGAACAGAGGGAGAAGGGTCCCCCGCGTCCCGGCCGGGGCGCCGGGTTTCCATGGGGATGGCTGCTGGGGGCCCTGAATGTGGGGCTGCGACCCGCCATTGAGAGCATCTTATTTACATCTCTAGAGGAGCAAAGTCTCTGAACTTCAAAACCTCCTTTCACAGATTAACCGTCTCCCCATTCTCCGCTCCACCCCGTGACTTTGACACCGCATTCAAAGCCGCTGGTGCGGCCCCCCCCAGCCCCCAGCCCTCCTTCCCAAAGAGAGGCCTTTTCAAGTGCAAAGCCGTAGGGTTTAATCCTCCTTCCCTTCTCCCATGGGCCCACCAGGAGCAGCACTGCCTGTGCGGGGCGCAGCCTCTTGCTGCAATGGGGAACCCCCCCACCAAAAGCACCAAGAGGTGCTCAGCCCCCTCTTCCCCATTTTGGGGGACTCTGAAATTTAAGGAGCCCATTTTCAGCTCCTTCCCAGCTCGAGCTGGGATGCATCACCGCTTTGTTCCCGCCGCGATGGCAGTGGGACGGATGCCGCGTACCGGTGGGGCACTCGCAGTGGAACTCGTTGATCTTGTCGAGGCAGTTGCCGTTGTGCAGGCAGGGGCTGCTGGCACACTCGTCCGTGTTGATCTCGCAGTAAACCCCCTCGTAACCTGCGGAGAGACCCGGTGCACCATCAGCGCCATGTCATGGGGCTGGCACAACGCGCAGGACAGGCAGGTTACACCAGGGCACGTTTGGTCCCCCCATCTTTATGAAGGCAGCTCAGCCCAGGAGCTGTCCTACACGTGGTGGGACCTGATGCACAAGCTGCTCCATGGTTGTCCACCCCAGATCTCCCTGCCCTTGGATTGATCCTAGCCTGCAAGGTCGGGAAGAGGAGGAATCCAGAGCAGGGCTGATGGTGCTCAACTCTCACCTCCTGTCCCCCCACTGCTGCGGGAGACCGTGCAATCTTTACCAAGCTCTTTCTTCTCAGTGCTGCCCCCAGGCACACGCGCCTCCCGTGGCTCCTCACCCAAACCAACGCTGAGCTGAAGCTCAGGGGCACCCAGAGGCCTCCCACTGCCCACACCCAGCACCAGGGCAGGGCTGCCCGCTCACCGGGCATGCAGATGCACTGGAACTCCCCGATCTGGTCCAGGCAGGTGGCATCATTCTGGCAGGGGTTGGAGAGGCACTCGTTGACGTCGATCGGGATGCATCACCGCTTTGTTCCCGCCGCGATGGCAGTGGGACGGATGCCGCGTACCAGTGGGGCACTCGCAGTGGAACTCGTTGATCTTGTCGAGGCAGTTGCCGTTGTGCAGGCAGGGGCTGCTGGCACACTCGTCCGTGTTGATCTCGCAGTAAACCCCCTCGTAACCTGCGGAGAGACCCGGTGCACCATCAGCGCCATGTCATGGGGCTGGCACAACGCGCAGGACAGGCAGGTTACACCAGGGCACGTTTGGTCCCCCCATCTTTATGAAGGCAGCTCAGCCCAGGAGCTGTCCTACACGTGGTGGGACCTGATGCACAAGCTGCTCCATGGTTGTCCACCCCAGATCTCCCTGCCCTTGGATTGATCCTAGCCTGCAAGGTCGGGAAGAGGAGGAATCCAGAGCAGGGCTGATGGTGCTCAACTCTCACCTCCTGTCCCCCCACTGCTGCGGGAGACCGTGCAATCTTTACCAAGCTCTTTCTTCTCAGTGCTGCCCCCAGGCACACGCGCCTCCCGTGGCTCCTCACCCAAACCAACGCTGAGCTGAAGCTCAGGGGCACCCAGAGGCCTCCCACTGCCCACACCCAGCACCAGGGCAGGGCTGCCCGCTCACCGGGCATGCAGATGCACTGGAACTCCCCGATCTGGTCCAGGCAGGTGGCATCATTCTGGCAGGGGTTGGAGAGGCACTCGTTGACGTCGATCTCGCAGCGAGGGCCTGAGTAGCCTTGCAGGCACTGGCACTGGAAGGACCCCTGGGTGTTGATGCATTTCCCTGCGTGCTCACAAGGGTTGGCTCCTGCAACACACAACCGCGGCTCACAGGACATGCTCCCGGCTGCACGCACGCTCCCGGCTGCCCTGGCGCTTTCCCCAGCGAGCTCAGCCCCGGTGCTCACCCAGCGAGCACTCGTCCACGTCCTGGTTGCAGGCTGGCCCCATGTACCCCGACGGACACGTGCAGATGGCTTTGCCGTTGACGGGGTTGGTGTCGCAGTTGGAGCCCTCGTTGCAGGGGTTGCTGATGCAGGCGTCATCGAGGTGGCACAGCAAACCTGGGCAGCAAAAGGCAGGCGCACGTCAAAGGTGGCGGGCACACAAGTCACCATGCACCGAGATCTCAGCTAGGAGCCAGGGGACGTGCAGGGGAGCTGCCACCCTGCATGGCGAGCAGGGGGCAAGATGGGACGGGGCCTCACCTGTGCGGCCGTGGGGGCACTCGCAGTAGAAGGAGGCGACCCGGTCGTGGCAGGTGGCCCCGTGGAAGCAGGCAGCCATGGCGCAGTCGTCGATGTTCTCGCTGCAGTCCTCGCCTGTCCAGCCATTGACGCAGACGCAGTTGTAGCCGCCGTGGTTGTTGTGGCAAGTGCCCCCGTTCTGGCAGGCGTTGGGCATCAGCTGGCACTCGTCCACGTCCTCGGTGCAGTACTGACCTGCCAGGGGACAGAGCAGCTGCATGAGGCTGGCACTGCCCAGCTCCTGCAGGCTCCGGGAGCATCGCTATGAAGCAGGACAGCTCTCCCCACCGGATCCCTGGCATCCCTTGGGGGTAGGATCCTTCCTCCCAGCCCAGCCCCGTGCCACCCTTGCTGCCGGCGGTGGCTTTACCTGTCCACTCAGGCGGGCACTGGCAGTTGTAGGTGTTGACGCCATCCACGCAGGTGCCTCCATTCTTGCAGTTGTTGCCCGGACAGTCATTGATGTTCTCCTCACAGTTCTGGCCCATGAACCCTGCGCAGAGGAGACGTCTTCCATGATGCTGGCCGACCAACCAGCCGTGCCACTGCCTCAGCCCCCCACCGCCCCCCCACCGATAGCAGGTTTGTTATGGGG